GACTCTAATTAGTGCTCTTAGGAAAGAAAGAATAAAGCTAGTCTATAAATCTAGCAACCTGAGTTCTGTTCCAACTGTATCACTATCATAGTTGACTAGGACAAAACAAGTATTCTTTTATGGTCTCAATTTAGTGGTAATATGAAGGCTTTAAGCTAAGTGATTTTCAAGACCTGTTGCAGCATTATAATCTTTAATTAAATTATACTTTGTTCCAAAATATGAAAGATATAAATGTCATTGTTATTAAATAATTCATAAGGTAGCTGTGAAGATAAAATTTATGTTAAAAAACTATTAGTGAGCATAGATTTCTTTTGTACCTTTTCTAGCTAAACTATCATCCCCTCTTTTGTGCCTTCATAGTAAAATAGTTTTATCATAATATGCTGTAATTTTTTCATTTGTTTTACCTCCACTTCTTTTGTATTCACTGAGAGATATTTGAGGCAAAAATGATATCTGTTTACCTCTTTTTTCTCAGTACTAAGCAATATCTGGTATTTAATATAGCCCCAATGAATTATTCTTTCAAATTATGGTTCTCAGTCTACTTAAGAATGGCTTTAGGGCTTATCAAAGATGTTCCACCAAGTGACTTAATGACTTAGGTTTTTTTATTATGAGGCCTGAGAACCCATATCAGTACTGTTTTGTGGGTTCTTATGTGCCTAATCCATGTGTTGTTCAATTACACACATGACAATGAAATTCCCTTGACCAGAAAGGGCTACAGCACAGGTACTGGAAGTGTGACTTCTGTAAAGTGCTCTAAAAAATAACTGCTGTCACCCCAAACTATGTGATTTAAAAAAAGGGATATCACAATTGCTTCTTAGAAAAATCACTGTTTTATAGCATATAAAAGGCTCTGAATATCCTATAATAAAAACAATAATGCTTACTTTGTTTAAAAAAGCATTTCTCAATTATATTTAATCTTGTAACTTGCCTTGAAATTATGCACTGACACGATTCAGAAAAGAACTTGTGGAGAACAGGGGGGCAATGTGGATTATATCTGAATGAAAACATCTATATAATTGAACAGGCAAGAGCAAGGCAAATGATAAGATAAAAGCACATAAGTGTAAATGTGGAACCTGAATTAAATGCTCCAACTAGAGCTGATTTCACACGTTTTAATATTGGAGAGAAATTTGAAAAAGTATGTTGTGTCAAACAATGGTGAGTTGGATGCCAAAGAGGGGATTTCAGGTCAAGAATGCTTAATGATCTTTCTGAGAGTGAAGTAACCAGATGTTGGACTCCATGTAAACACTCTTCCTCCTCTTAAAACTGTGATTCAAAATCAATATGGAATTTCCATTTGACCCAGTGATCCCCCTTCTAGGAATATATCCTAAGAAAACCAAAAGGCTAATCAGAAAGAATGTGTGTACCCCTAAGTTCATAGCAGCACAATTTACAATAGCCAAGATCTGGAAACAGCCCAAGTGCTCATCAGTAGATGAGTGGATAAAAAAGTTATGTACATTTATATCATGGAATACTATGCAGTAGTAAAATAGAAGAATCTCTTACCCTTTGAGACAGCATGGATGGACGTGGAGAGTATCATGCTAAGTGAGATAAGTCAGCCAGAGAAAACAAGTATCACATGATCTCACTCATATGTGGAATCTAAGTAACAAAATAAACTGATGGACAGAGTGAATCCAGAGACATGAGAGCATAGAACAGATTGTGGAATCTTGGAGGGAAGGAGGGGAAGTATGAGTGGGTGGGAAGTAGTCAACCAAGAACCTTATGTGCATATATGCATGACCCATAGCCACAGACAATGGGGCAGTGAGGGCCTGGGGCAGGGGGTGAGGTGGGCTGGAGGGAGTCAATGGTAGACAAAAGGGAAAATACATAATACTTTCAACAATAAAATTATTTTTAAAAAATGATGATGAGTAGGCAATTGAAAAATTTCAGAATACAAATAAAAATTTAGAATTAATATTATATGGAGATCAAACAATTTGAAATTTATAGCTGACTTAATGACTTCAAAGCAATTATTATTCACATCCAAAAATTTGAATTTCTTTTGCTGATATCTTTTAATGGAGAAAACTCCTTTTAACTTTGTTTAATTGCAAGTGCAGGCAAATGTAGAATAAACAACTAAATAGAAATATGAAGACTATCTCTAGGTAAAACAATTTGGATATGTTCATTTTAATGTATGTTCATTTTTAAATACTGCTTTTAAATTTTATTTGCTTATATTTAGTTCTTAAAAACATAAAAAATGACAATAAATTTGGTCATAGCTAAAATGTGTTAGAGAAGCTGGCATAATCATACCACATTTATTAGGAAAACAAAATTGCTGTGTTAGTGTTCCTAAGATTGGAGGGTCAGAAAGGCAAGGTGGAATGTTCTAATTTATTTTAGTGAGTTGAATAATCTTTTGATTTCTATTTATTTTTTATTACTTTTTTTGTTTGTTTTATATATCCATCATCATCTCTAGTATTGACAGCCAGGGATTCCTCCATAAAATTACTTGAAAAGAACAGATTGTGTGTTTTTCTTGATGTATTTCACTACATATGTTGGCTTTTCTAAATGAAGATATGCTAAAAATAATTCAAGATTAAAAAATAGAGCTCATTGGTTTCTGAAGTGCTTCTCATGTATTATTACTTGATAATTTGAAATTTTCAAAATAGGTGCAAAGTAACAGAGATCTACACAAATCTTAGGTAGGAATTCCAGCATTGCCTTATGCAAGGTTGACAGGTATTTTCAGACTCAGGTCTGATTTCAACTTTTGGCTCTGAGAGCTCTTTTTAGATTTCTGCTCACACAATTCTACCTTTTGGTTGTTTTTATCAAAAATATATTTTGCATTTTTTAAAAAATATTTTATTGGTTTTTTTACAGAGATGAAGGGAGAGGGATACAGAGCTAGAAACATCAATGGGAGAGAAACATTGATCAGCTGCCTCCTGCACACTCCCTACTAGGGATGTGCCCGCAACCAAGGCACATGCCCTTGACTGGAATCGAACCTGGGACCCTTCAGTCCGCAGGCCAACATTCTATCCATTGAGCCAAACCGGACAGGGCTTTGCATTTTTTGTCATGCTTAATTAGGATTCAATGAAATGTTGACTAGCAAAGGAACAACATTTTTATTACCTTTATAATCCACTATCACTTGCTTTTATGCATATACTTCTGAAATAACTAATACAAAATATACATTTTTACAATGATTATGTATGTTATCCCTGTATTTGATAAATCTTGTTTGTTTTTTTTTCTGAAAACCTTTATTTTTTTTTCTAGTGTGTGGTTAAAATAACTGAGCACAATTTTCAATGTCAGAATATATGAGAAATATTTTAAGTTTAAGCTGCATATTCCAGTTTTAACCATAGAGAGTAATCTCATACTGTGCCACTCCAGCATGGCCAAAGGTGAACCTGAGGAGGGGTGGTGAAGGATTAAAGAAAAGACAGACAGAGAATACAGCTGGGACTCGGTGGATCTCCCGTGCCCGAATGAGGACACCAAAGATCCAGGCTGCAAACCGATGCTTTATTTTACAGTCTGATTAAAACAAGGGTAGATTAACATGTATACAGATGTTCTTGTTTTGGCAACACTTGCTGCACCTCCCACAGCCCATTAGCTACTTAGGAAGGAATTAGGGACGGCTACAAGGTCAGGTTTAACTATGCTGGGAGAGCTCTGCCCTCCAGGCTGGGACTTGTGTGTGGCCCTGCTACAGGTCAGCCCTGGGCTTGACCCTAGAGCCGCACCCTACATCATACCATATTATTTTAATTATACAAAAAGAAAAGATGAGGTCTGGGAAAAATAATTTGGTAAATAGATTTTAATTTTAGAGTTGGAGGGTGAAAAGCCCATTAAAGATCCTATATCTAACTCCAATATTGAATAATAGAGATAAGGAAATATTCCAAAAGTGCTTTTTCTACTATGATAAAAATAAATGGTTTAATTAAATAGAAAGAAATTTCTAAGTAATCTCTGTACATCTACACACACATAATATAATACAATATTTGTATATTAGGGGGTACAATATTTATGTTTAGCTCAATTAGCTTTAGTACCAATATTACTTAATTTTACTATTTATTGCCCACAGTGTCTGTGTATATATATATATATATAT